GGAAAAAGCTATTGCCGCTGTTCGACGCCACATATCAGTGTCACTCTGATCTATAATCAGCTCATGTTTTGTTTCAACGCGCGATACTTGTACTTAATGTTATCGTCGCCTCTCGCAGCGAGTAAACGTTGCAATTTAACCATCGTATTTTACGATTTTTCCGGAATTAAAAAGAAAAATGGCGGGTCATTATCCCTCGGCTTCGCAGTAATTAGCACGTGTGAGCCGCGCACGCGAATCTCTACGTTTATTGTTGGTAAAATAGGAGCGATACGCGCGGCATATCACGACGCGTTGTATCGTATCAGCCTCGAAATGTCATTCCAATTTCAAAGTATAGCATTTTACCGATAATAACGGCAGCGATAAATTAAAATTACTGCAATTAATTCAACAGGCTACTCGACGCGGAAAATACAACGGATCGCCTCTGTTTTTCCATCATCAGCTGAAGATCCATAGCTATTTGATCTTTTTCCTTTTTCGCTTATTATTCTGTCTATTACTCTCACATTTTTAATTTAACTATAACATATAATTCAAGCGTACAAAATCATAATGACTTCCTGCAAAATTGCAGCACATGCATGTTACCGCGAACATTCCAACAATCTAGGAATAGATTAGAAAGTCAGGAAAATATCCGGGAAGATATAGTTCAGACGAACAACTTTTCGTGATGAATATCGTCATAGTTACTGAATACTCCCAGCAACAAAGCACTAATAATACAATTCTATCGAAAATTAAACAGAGAGAGATAATTAATTATAATATTCAATATATTTTTTCTTTAAAAAAGCAAATTTTCTTTTAAATAATAAGAACTGCAGTAATAATTTAATATTTACTCGGCCCAAAATTTTTGCTTTAGTCTTGTTTACTTTGTCGCTCACATTACAAAAAATGCAACTATAACTGTAAAAATTAATTTGATTACTATTATATCAAGTTAAATTATTTTGCACTCGCGAAATTAGAATCTTAGAAGATATCGTTTCCCGAAGAAACATGCCTACGGAATGCACTCGATAACCTTGGCTCGTAAGACGGGTTTAAGTTGTGCGCAAGAACGCCTGTTCTATATGGAGCCATGAAATCTCGAGCACCTTCTGCAAGACGCTCAAAATCGTCTTCTCTTCCTGCAAGCTTCATTTCCGGAAAACAGTTCATTCAAACGATAGAGACACTTTGATGCACAACACAATGAAAATCAGAAAATAAAATAAACATTAATTTTTTTTTTAAACAAAAACATTCTGTGATTTATCTCGCACAATCTCTTGAATCGAGTTAAATCTATAATTATTGTATGAATTGCATTTGTTTTGTAGCGGCAAGGTATAGTTGATCTTACGCGCATTAGATTATTTAAAATGTCAAAAATACATGATACAGTGCCATAACTCTCTCGCGGATCATTACTATAAATCATCGGGTTTGGATCAAAACTTTCTCCCACGACAAGCACAGCATTTAATTTGACTTGGAGAGGCCGATAAGGTGTAGAACATCTCACGTACCGCTACTACCGCAAGTAAACAAAATACCCTCCGACGATACAACGTACCCGTTTCGCATCTACGTGCCCACGAACCCTCTTATGTATGTAGCACGAGCAATAAAGCCCATACTATTATTAGACTGTCCGGTGGACCCTGTCATTTTTTTTCGATACAAAGATCGTAGCCCGAGTTATCGACTTTGCGCTCTATTCGTACCAAGCTCGAACCACTGCGGCTTAGATTGGAAGTCGGTCGATACAGACGCTGACGCTGCGAGACTTCGGAGCTATATGCATAGTGAGTGGAGCATTAACGAACCAACGCAACGATAGAAACCTCATTCAGGAGATCCGCGTCTCGAACCGTGATGAACCTCACGAACAATTTCTACGCTAATTGTATAACACTAAATAGAAAGGAAAATTGTTATTCCAAAAATTTGCATTCCTAAAAATCGTATAAATCTTTTTAACTTTGATATAAAATATTCAATTAAGTTTGTGAAAGTTTTCACGTACATCGACTTCAAATTCATCGAAAGATCTGTTAAATATATGAAAGTAAAAAATTTCTATCGTCATAATTTTTCTTCTAGTACATGTCGAGAGAATGTGGATCTAGATTTCTAAATTAGAAATCTAGATTTAAATTGAATGTCAAGACAAGAACTATACCTATGTATTTTTCATTGCTCTCTTTTCATGCAAATGTCATTTAACAAATCTACAAATTAACGCAAACGTTGTAGGAAGCGTACTAATCATGTAAATCGAAAACCATCGAATATAAACCGACTTGTGTATTCGATTCGACCTCGGGTATCAGTCGTTGGTGAAGCGAATTATAAAAACTAGAAAGAGCAGGTGACAATAGAAGATCGTATCCAACGTAACAATCATTATACACAATGGCAACAATAACTATTGTGAGCAGGCTAATTGTTTCATGAGAATCAATAATTACCTCAATTTACTTGCGTCATATTGAGACAAGATATATCGGGTGTTGCAAAAAAAAACAAATATATAGGTACAGTAGCACCTCATTACTAAAAAACACCTCTTGACAATGACTCTTTCTTTCATATAAATTAAATTAATCTCCAAGTATTGATTTAAACAAATTCTATTATGAGAACAATCTGTGTGACTCATATTTATTTACGAACACCACGTAGATATACGTTAGTCTCCCACGTCATTCTACCTTTTCCCCTTGTTCTGAAATCACGACGAAACGGCTAGATAAAGCGATGTATTCGTTCAACCAATGAAAAATCAATACATTACTTTGTAAACAATATCAAAAGGGTCGCCGGAAGTTTACGGCAATAAAATGCCAGCTGACAAGCGTTATTTTCCATTTAAATATCATGGGATTCATGGGAAACAATCAGTTACAAAACTCTGAAATCTTTAATAGAATACTTTTATCACAATGAAAATAAAAATATATGAAAATGCAAATGTAATTAGATAACTATTTTATCTCATTTCTATCTCATTTCCTCTTAAAATTGTCCTTTCGGATCGTACCGAAAATGTTAGTTAAATGTCGACGAAGAACTGTGTCTTTTGTGACATTATTGCTATAAGTGCTTTCGTAGCAAGATAAGAACGAGTGTATTTACATAATGTATTTCAATATTAGTTTAAATTCATGAATAAATTTTCCCGATAAATTCCTAATAAATATAAAAAATGTAAAAGTAGGCAAAGATCTTATCTAATAATACTGTTTCCCAAAAATCTTAAATTACTCAGATAGAAAAAAATAAAAAATTTGGATTTTTTAATTTCCTTAATATAATCGCATCCCTTCTCTTTCTAAAGCCGATCTTAAAAGTTATATTTTTTAATATGCTTGTTCAAATATTTACTAAGTTGAAATATGGTATTATTACTACTTCAATGAATTTTATTCTATTCTTATACAATAAGTTACTAATTTATCTAATTTAAAATAATAAAACACAAACATCCTTACGGCTTTCCGAGCCCTATTCTTCATACTGAATTTTAATCCGCGGAGCCATTTGAATATTATTTATCTAATTTAATTTCTAATTTCCAATTTAAAATTAAAAAATGCTTTCAGTTTTATATATATTTTAATCAGTCTATAACACAGATAGAAAAATTTTGCAATGGGACGAGTTTTGGTCACTACACAGACGCAATCATAAGATTTTTATCCCAGTCGGTTTTGATCCATGAAACGTGACTCTCGATCGGCATATCGGCACTGTTCTATCCTATGATAGGCCTTACCGTAACGCGATACACTCGCTGTTTACCAAAGGGGAGTGAAACGTGACGCGAGATATTGACGATTCCGTGTCACGTGCACGCACGTGTGACAGCCACGAAACAATACCCGTCCGAAAGCTAACCACGACAGAAATGTATCGCAGCTGAGCCCCAATGATTGCCATCCCATTATCCCGCGGATCAAAGCCGTTCAGCCAGAAGGAGGGTATCAAATTATTCACTCAAAATTCCTGTCTATCCCTAATATCCATCTCTAGCAACTGATCGAATTCATTACGATATAATCAGCGATAATCTGATACCTGACTGATTCGTGACCAATTTACTCACAATAAGTACAGAAACAGCTCCGATTATTGAACTCTTAACTCGGTTAATTTATGTATCCAGATATAAAAAAAAAACTTGTTTTTCTCTCACAAAAAATTTGTTATTTTTTAATTATCATTGAAATTTCGAACATGTATTATACATACGTGTGCGTTTCAGTCACAGATAAAATCTTTGCAATTCAATCTTAATTATATATCACTTCGCGATAAAACGCATGTGTCAGCAATAACACAAACATAATTCAACTTTTTCCCCTATTTTAATTAAACACAGATCGTTTTTCCTTCATGTTTAATCTTATTTTAATTTTTATAAATTTTTAATAGTATATTATTTTTGCTCACAATAAATCTTAATTTTATCGAACACAATTTCTTGCACGAACGCCTGCGCGATACATTTTAATTTGATCTCATGTTATAATTATTTAATGATTATATACGTGCTATTTTGTAGTCTACAGAACGTTTATTTAATTTAATAATCATAAAAGTTGCACTAAAGAAAAATCTCTTATTTGAATTTAAAGGCTGGAATAATTCTCAAACCTATTATTACGCGCAAGTTAGTCCTACTGGAATAATTGCGGCGACGTAACTTTCCAAGAAAGAGCATGTTAATCTTTCAGACATCCTTTGAATGTCACAATTAGACAACAATATTCGGTTAAGCTTGTATGAATAAACAGTTAAAAAACGTACAGCATTCATTTTACAGTACCTACGTAACATACGTCCTCGAGAAATTAATTCTAAAGTGCGAAAGAATTTATCATTTGCCCGTCACGTATATACGCATTTTTAATAACATTGTATGTCATCGCTGCATTACCGCGCGTTCTCTTCGTACGTGCAAAGGTTCAAGTCGTTAAGGATGATTTAAAGTTTCTCACCGGTCATCCTGCGTGACAGTAATGTCGGGCGGGGGCGGAGGGGGCGAGGCACCGTCTGTAGCATCCAGCTTGCCGGCTTTTTACTGCGCTGCTTGGCTTCTCTGACTTCTGAGAGAGAAAGAGAGAGAGAACTGGAGGGAGAGGAAGAGCGAGAGAGAGAGAAAGAGAGAGAGGTGACGCTCTCCACCCGACGAAGCGCGATACACGTTGTGCAGCAACTCGCGATCGTCGCGACTCGTGTCTTCACGCCGCGGCCGCGGCCGGCGACATCGCCGTCGATGGTTGACCCCCTTGGAATCTCTCGCCTCTTATCGCCGAGTCGATCGATCGATCGGGTAAATCGCGTCCGTACACCCCACGAGCGATGACCTCGGTATCCTACCGCGCATTCGGGCGATCGCCTACTCCTTCATCAGGATCTTACCTCTCTTTCGATACGAAACGCGCTTGAAAGCCACGTTGAAATATTTGCTCGCCTCTCGACCCGTCGATTTACGTTGTGACCCGCGCAGAAGTCACGACAGTCGGCGCGAGATTCGATCCCAATTCGTCGGTCACTCTCGTCGGGACCTCGTGAACTCTGGAAAAGTTTCTATCGCGAATCGCGACCCACTTGCGCAGGCTCGCCTTTCGCGACCCTCCTCGCTAATCTTTCTCTCGAGCCTCAACCTCAACCGCGCGCAATTTCATAAGACGCGCAATCTGCTCGGCGCAGCTAGCTCTTCTCCGCTCACGCCGGGATAATATTCGTCGTAAAACCGTTACTCCAGGCTCGCTATTATAGATTTATTACGGAATACCTGCCGCCGCTGTGCTGTGCCGCGCGCGAGTGCCGTGCGAGTCTGCGAGTCGAGGCTGCGGTGAAAGCGAACGGCGACGATTATCGCGCGGAGTGAACAGGCCCCGAGAGCCTCGGCCACGCTTACTCCGCGTTCTCGTAAACGCGGTCGCTCTCCTGAGCTGCGCGCCGAATACCAAACCGATCCCGCGAAATAACTCGGCCGATACTCGTCGGACGATTGTTGCACTCTCCGAATGCGCTTGCCTTCGTAAAAGCGCTCGTCGTTTCGCAGCGCACTGAATACCAGCCTGATATTCGTCAGAAAGATCGCGAATTAATCGTCGTTTCGGTTTGTGAAAAATCCAGATATGTTCGCTGGTATCGGCGAATCAATTATTACGTCGTAAACGTGATAAACCTTCCGCGCATCTACTGCTCCACTGATCCACGCAGGCAGCCAGGCAGGCACCTTTGCGAAGCGCGAGGTGTCGCGTCGCGAAAGCGCGCGGGTCACTGCACGAGACACGAGACACGAGACACGAGTCGTCCGAACATCCGCGCGGTTACCTTCGGAATCACGGAAAGGACTTCTCTCTTCGACGTTCGATGAACGTTGTGACCCCGATGAAGATTTATCTTTGCTCCTGACGATATTTCGCAACGACAAGACACTTTGAGAAAACTCGAATGTATCTTCGCCAAGTCAACACGCGCACGTGATTCTTAAATCTCTCTCTCTCTCTCTCTTTCTCGTAGACGACGATAACGGGTCTCAACTTTCCTTTCATGAAACGAAAACTCTGTATTCCATTTCCGCATAAATTAATGGATGACGATACGCGAGGTACTTTTCTCCAAAAAAGAATGCTCTTCGATTGTAATTCGATGACGCGGTCTCCGCGAAATTGGATGTGCTCAGCGGCGACTTTCTCCTTCGCAATGACAACGGGTTTCGATTGTCTTTTGGACAATCACAATTAAGTCAAATTGAAGATATAACTCGTAGCAACAGACGATCTTTTTAAGCAAACGTCATCCGCTCTTGCTTCCCACGTAGAAAGCGTTGAAATATTTCCGTGCTTATCTCGATCGTGCCGCGAAATTTGTGTATATTATCGCTCGTCGAAGCGGCGAAAGGAACGGAGATATGCTCAGCCCGATATATTCAGAAAGTACAACTTTTCTCCTCTCTACTCCTCTCTCTCTCTCTCTCCCTTTCTCTCCTCCTCTCCGTTATCAATCTTCCTAATGTCTTTAATTCCAAGGTCTCATAGGTATCCCACGTTAATCGGCTCCTGATGGAAATTACGCACGCTCCGTTTTACGCAACGGCGCGCGACACAACCGTGCTTCGTCTCCTCGGGCGCGATTACGTCACTTGCAGACGGGAAACGAGATTGCATCCGGTTTTATAAGCCGGGAAGCGCGCGATCGAGGATTCGCGAGAGGATTCGTCACTGGCGAAGGTGTCACTTTTGAACGGATGAGACACGAGCGTGGGGGGAGGGGGGAGAAAATCCATCGATATCGATCAAATTGCGGCGCGTCGATCCGCGAACCCGATATTCGGCACACGTCTCGCGTTCCGACGCTAGTACCATCGGACGAATGACAGTCCCGACGCCGTCTCGATACAGTCCATCGTAAGGTCCATCAGAAGTTTCCCCCCTCTGGACTCTCTAGTCTCGATTTATGACCGGCGCGGGCGCGACCGCATCTCTGCAGAGAGAGAGAGAGTGATCCTCCGGACGCGCGGAACTCTGTACTCCGAACTGGAAATCGCGAGATCGGAATGCGATTCGCGGGTGCAGTCGCTATTAATCGCAACGCTCGCCGACCGCCACGGAACTCTCGACAAGACTGGAGGTTCTCTTGGTAGGTGAGGCCGGCCTCTTTCTCTCTCTCTCTCTCTCTCTCTCTTTCTCTCACGCTGGTCAGGAGCGTATCCGGCGCGCGCGAGCCAGGTGGAATTCCTTCCGTAGAGAACCGATGAGTGTTTACAGGATGTGGGCGCGACTAGTAGAAAACTATCATCGCTAGTCGAGTGCTTTCGTAAGATAATTTTGCTACGCTCAACCGCTCAAAAGACGTGTAATTCTTTAAATTCAAAAATATTTTTCCTACGTGCCATACTTCTCATGTAATTTCGTTATCAAAATAATATTTTTCGTAACGAGAATATGCACGATATAATAATCTAATCTCGAGTGATTAATGACAACTATATAAAATAAATCGTAGTTGATCGTCCTATTAATCGTCCTTATGTCAAACTCAGTTCTTTCTCTTAGTTTACTTTCGAGATTATTTGCTTTTCTACTTTCGTTCTTTCCAATATTCTCTTTCAGCTTTCGCAGACATTTTCAAAAGTTGCTGTATTTCCAGCAAACCAATTGTATTTCGCTTGCCACGCTTGAACGTCGTTATCATATACTTTAAAAGGCAAGTGTTCGAATCAATAAATATATACATATAAATAAAAGTACGGCGGTGTGTATGCGTGTGTGGGACTATATGTGATTAAATGGTTACGACATTGAAATATATTATGCAATGGTTATGTTTCGTATGAGATGCATATATATAATTAACCGAAATCGCATCAACGGGTTGTCAGAGTTTGCGTGCTTTTGTGTAACGTGGATGTTACTGAAAACTTCGTTGACATAACACAGTTTTATTTTGACTAACGCTATTTTCGAGCTGCTTGTAACGCAGAACATTGCACGGCGCAGTTTATTCGATGTGACATGCCAATTAAAATTGCGTCGATGCTATACTATAGCGATCGTGTTACGTGTTGTTCTTATATCAGTTGACCGATTCAAATTGCGTCGATGTGACATTATAACGGGCGAGTTATATCTTATTCATAACGCACACTTGCATTCGAATTGTAAAAAAATGTTAACTAGCGTAGATATGCTGGTGAATACAGTGATAAAGAAGAAATTATACTAACAATGATTAAATTTGAGATATTGTTTTATAGTAACTATCGTGATTGAGATATTGTATTTCATATAATATGAGATAATTATAGAAAACATAATCGATTTCAAGAGCTACGAGAGTTCACAAAATAAAATATTTCAGTTTTGCTGATTATTATACCTTGATTTAATTGCGAAATTGAATATCGATGGTATGGACCAGATGAGTATAGCGCGTATACAGCCCTGCATCCAACCTTTCTCACTCTATCGATGCTCTTTATCCTTCTTTCTCTCTCGCTTTTTCTCTCTCAATTTACTTCGCTCTCTAATTCCGTCTCTGTTGCACCAAACTACTCGCTTTAAGTAGGATGTCCTCGTCATTCCCCCTTTCATCCTCTTCAACCTGGCCGATCTCTTCTCTGCCATTTATACCGAAGTACCTCTCGGGCGAGTTCGTAAATTTTCGGCACGAACGACAGAGAGAAGACCAGCGAAATGAGAGGCTACGGAGCAGAAAAGAAAGAAAGACGAGAGAGAAAGAAAAGACACAATGGAAATTAAGAACTATTAAATAACGTAAACACTATAAAGAAGGGATGGAGGCAGAAAAGACAGAAAAAACACAAGTTGTAAAAATGTAATTAAATACAGCTTAAAAAAACGACAGAACAGCGCGAAAAGATTTTTCACGAAAGTAATAAATTAAAAATTGGAAAAGGAATAATAAAGTTTATTATCTGTATATATATATCCTATTAGAATATATAGTTTCTTAATGCATTGCACGATTGCGAGATAAATAAATAAAAAATAAACGCGGATACAATAAGGCAAAATGAATGAACACGCAGACAGGAAGAAAAAAACATGAGATTAAGAAACAACAACGAGAGAAGTGTCATTTCATCATCGTAGAGAAGCGAGAAATGGTGACACCGGTAATGGAAAGGAGATGGAGAATAAAAGAGCGACGGAGAAAGGGTGAGAGACGGAGACGATGGGAAAGAGCGGAGTTAAAATGCGAAAGAGAGATAGATAGGCAGAGGAAGTGAAGAACGTAAGGGGAAATCCTAAAGGGAACGAGAGGAGAAGGTTCTCCCACGTAACCACGCCCCACGTTCTCTCTCTCGCCGACAGATTTTTACATGCGGATCGAGGACGGAGAAGGGGAACGTCGAGGCAAAACCCATGGGACGCCAGAGTGCGGCCCCCGTTTGCAGTTTGCACCGTGAAACGTATCTCTCTTTCTTTCTCTTTCCTCTAACCAAGGTGGAGGTGGAAATGCACATGCACATATGCGCGTACATACACAGAACTGACAGAACGTCGCCCAGAATTTCCTCCCCTCGGAAGTAGGTATGTCGCGATCTTGCGGACACGCTAGAGCGACGTCGCGTCTGCTCTATCATCGGGAGGATCCAGGGAAGCGAGAGGGAACGGAGGAACGAGGAAACGACATATTAAAACGGTCGTACAGAGATTAATTTGTTGGAATTGGGCACTGTACGCTTCTCTTATGATAGTACTCGCGCGCGCGGTCGGCCGCGTCTGGCCGCGTCTCTGTCGCCAGTCGCCGTCGTCTGCTCGTCTATGCACATCAGATGCATGCAACGCGAAAGAACGTCCCGTTCCACCAAGCGGCAACCGAGCGTGTGATGACCGCGGATAATAAGCGCTCCACATTCCCTTTTTTTCCGCGAGCGGCATCGCGCGTCAGTAAAGAAGAGCGCCCATCGTGCACGAGCGTGTGCCTTCCGCTTAAACAGTCTCTTTAAACGGAAGGAACAAAATAAAACATCGATTTAGTTATATCATAGCCCGCCATACGCTAAACACGGAAGTTCCAGCTTTTCTTCATTAACCTTTTATTAGTCCTTATTTATCACGGTCAAAATTTGAATTTTGTATGAATTGCTTTTACAAAACACTTGGGACATTTTTTGAGAAATTAATGTAGGGTGTACGTTTGATATTTGAATCGCCAGTAATTACAGTAATTATAGACAAGACATTGCCTTCTATTTTACACGGATTGAGCATTTTTTATTTCGTAAATATATGTATGTAAAAATTGAATAACGTTTGTCGCTCGTGCAAGAGAGAAAAATTATTCATTACATGCATAAATGAGAAACTGTTGCTCTCTCGAATAAATAAACGATATCAAAAATTCAAAAAAGATGTTTCGATTTTATTCGCTCATTGCGTATACCTTAGGAATGCACGATTAATGAGAATTCCCGCGGTTGGAGGGATATACTGACTATGAAAAAGAAAATTGTGACCATAACCCTGACGGGAGTAGCCAATTTACAAGCGCTTCGCATGCGACGTACGCTGTGTCTCGAAATAACGTCGCTGCATGAATTACACGACCATTAATCCATTAGCTGCTGAGTTGCATTATGACGTACGTCCCTAAACGCGACGATATAAGCTTTATACGCTCATTATAACTTTGCTCGTCGAGTTTAACGTGGGAGAAATAGGAGAACAGTGAAATAATGAGACGTTTCATTACGTACAAAGTTTCGAAAAGCGGACTTGTAGTTTTCTATAATGTGCGTGGTAATTTGAATCTAATTTTCTTTTAGTCGTTACATTATCGTAGCTAAACGATATAAAACCTTCTAATTAAAATATAGATTATAATTTTATAAGTTTCTTTCATCAAATCGAGCAAATATACACATGAAATTTAATAACTTGTCCGATGACTTATATTCCGATTAATTTTTATAAGTTTCATCGCTTTACCAATCTTTTGATTTAAAATCATTTTTTATTTGAAAAAATTGAAACAATTTTTCAAACGTGAAACAAGTGTCGAATATTTTTTGATAAAAGCAAAGGACAATCTCTCTTTTTCAAAGATTTTATTAAAAATTTCCTGAAGAACACACACATGATGTTGGCACAGTTATCAAATACACCCGGTATTATACACGAAGCCACAATGTGTGTGGCGACTCACGATCGATTTCTATTCCTCGCGTAAAACGTATTCGGTACGATATTAAAAAGCAAAAAAAAAAAAGATATGGCAACGTTGGAAAGATGCCACACATACGGAGATCTGGCCGCAATAAAGCACGCTACTATTTCGCTACCATACGAATATCCACAGCACGCGTTTCTGTAGAAAACAAATCTTCCGTAACAATCATTCCCTCATGATTATGCGACCTAGCTATATCAGATTATGAATGTCTTCGTTTTACGGAAATGTCAGTTGAACGTCTAGAAATATACGTGACCTTTTCTCCCTATTTTGGCTCTCGCGCGTAACTGTGAGACCAGAATAGCGACGAATAGTTAAAAAGTCAATTAAACGAGCATCCGTCAAGAGAAAGTTCATCGTCGTGCTTTCTCACGTTTTTCACGTCGCGAATTTGACTGTAGAAAAAAAAATGGGAACGAGAGATAAAATCGTTCCACGTAGAAAAACTGATTTTTGTCTCACGAGACAAAAATAAGAAAATATCGTTCCGTGATATTAAATTTGTATAATCTTACCTTGAACGGGGGAGGAACATGGATCCATCGATGAACACGGAGCCGGAGAGAAGTATGTACCAACTTGTAGCCAACTCGCCGGTGCTGAAAATTATAACATTCTATTTGTTCTCGTTTTTAAATAAAAAGTGTTTAGTGCAGGTGTTTTCAAAGATCGATCAATCCTATTCTCGAAATTGATGTAATTCTACATACATCTCTATTATGTTTCTGCATATCCTATTTTTCTTGTTTGACAGGAAACAAGATTGCGTAATAGCACGTCTAAATGAACGATGGATATTTGATTATTCTATTTCTATTTGCCGATCATTTCCATTCGCCATCACTCGACGCCTATCATTCACCCACCTATTTTTCGGGGGGTAATGCAACCTACAGCGACATCTGTAGTTGTAACTTTGCAA